AAAAAAACAATCAAGATTAAAGTCACACCATGTAACTTTTGGCCACTAGGGGCACTAGACACGTAACTGCACATGTTTTGCTTCTACTAAACAATAGAGTAGAAAATCCTGTTATTGTCTTACAATGGAGAAATCGTGATGTTACAGCAGCAAGATGCCCAAGCAAATGTGGACCTTGAAAAAAATATATCAAAATAACAGAAAAAGTGATAGTTTAAAAAAAATATTGCATTGTAAACAGTTTTTTACAATATAAATACTGTGCATCTGGAGAATAAATAATATCCAGTTGTGGACATTTTTACAGTAAATAATAAGATATATGACTCTATACTAGGAGAAAAATGTTTACTTACCAGTTTAATAATAAAGTTAAGGAACAAAATCAGTTTTACATCCAGCTTATTCTTTAAGCCTGCGCCAGAGCACAAACTCCTTTCCAAGATGGACTCTTGTTTTTCCTCGTGCACAATTCCTTTCACGTTTTCTATTAGCCATGACTAGTCGTCAAACAGGTGGAAAAACCATAGAGCTAAAGCCTTAGCTCCATGACTATATAAGAGCCTGTGGCCATAAAGCGATACGATCTTCTAGGTCACATGACCTGGCCAACGACGGTGTGTCTTCTAACTTAAGTAGGCAGTATTACAATAGGGGAGCCCCGCTTGTAGCATTGATGGTGTCAAGCGCTGTATATTGGCCTGAGCAATCGTTTTAACTAACTGGTATGCATCAACTCAAGCATTAGGTAAAAAATATAGAGGGAATTTTATTCCATTATTGTTGGCAAAGAACAGTTTTAGTATATCGAAATTAGAATGGAAAAAAAAATGCAGGAATGAAATGCTTCTTAAAAACTGGTTTGAGAGTAATTTTGCTATTATCTCATGTTTGGTTTTAAGTTTTGAAACATTTACAAATGTTTCAAAATTTCATAAAATATTTAATTTTTTTTTTTTTTTTTGACAGATGTCATTTTCAGTTCTATTTATTTATTTATTTTTTGGTGGGAACTATTTGTAGGGAATTTTTCAGGAATTTTCATTTTCCGGATCCCACGCTCTTCCCTCAGAAACCAAAACACACACTTGTTCATTGACCAATGGAAATATCTCTAAGGCTGATAGAAAGTCTTTGCTCATCAGTCCAGAAGAAAGTCCACCTTAATAAGAGAAGGGGGGACGGTTTCACTTTCCTCTATCGCATTATTATTTTTTTTCATTTCCATTAACAAAATGTCTCCTGTGTTTTCAACAATAATGAAACAAAACTCCATTAAAAATTATCTAAATGTACGGAGTAAAATCTGTTCATTAAAATTATGTAATAAAGACCAACCAAAATAGAGAATGATGTGCTGGTTATGGTATTTTAAAGACTATGATAATATAATTGAAAAATGGAAATAATTCCAGACAGAAGCCTCACTTTAACAACCCAGTTTGTCATTTTGACATAAAACTTATGAAACCAGCAGTAGATCTACGTTCCTACCCGTACGCTCGGGATCGCATCATGACCAAAAGAAGATGATCTTGGATACAACCCGGTAAATTAACTTCCACCACAGGGAGGCGGGGCTCTCCCTTACAGATGGGGGGAGGAGCTTGGTTGTCCTGTTTAATTGATTTAGTATTTAGTTCTAAAATTACCAGTAAAACCAGTCCTCAGCATCAACAGACCTGCAAACAGGCGCCTGTCCCATTAGCGACAGCAGGAGATGCAACTGAAACAGCGTTTCCGTTACTCATTATCAAAGGCATATGCTTTGTGAAAATGTGATATTGTCAATACAATTAAAGTTGTAAAATATTGTCTTATAGTCTCAATACAGCTAATTAAACTTAACGCTTCTTTGGAAATGGAGGAAAAACAGATGCTAAGCATATGGAGAAAAAGGAAAGCACAGGATTTGATGTCAAGAAGCATCTTGGCTGATTTAGGAAAGCTGATATTTTTCAGGGTGACATTTTTCTTAATTATGAACTCTTTCCTACATTATAAAAAAAATGCAACCAAACAAATTATTCTGGTTGGTAAAATCACACCGTTTCTGTTTTAAATGTTAATATTCCAGTAATAATCCACCGCAGTCACTGCTAAGAAAGCTGAGAGGTAGATTGGGTTCAGCGAATCAGGATTTCTCTTCCGTTATCGTTATTTGACATGAAACCGGTCATTTTATGTGTACAGTTCTCCAAAAATAATAAAAAATAATATTTTTTAATTAGTTCAGGAGAAAAAAAAACAGCTCAGTTATATTTTCAACACAAACACTCATATTTTAAACATGGAAAATCCGATTTCCAGGCCATGACTCCCTTTTAAAACACTGCAGTTAATCTAGTTTGAACTGAACAGTGTCCAACATTACAGAAGACGTCTTAAAAGGGATCGCTCCAAATGTTCAGTGATCTTTAAGGTACAAAACAAAGAGACTAGATATATTTTAAATAGATTCAGCTTTAAAAGAAGAAACAGAACTGAGCAGCTTGATTACACTAAACAACTGGAGTATTATGGAACTCTTTACTAGCCCTACTTACAAACACAGACTAATTTCTTCATTTCAAATCACAACTCAAAACTCATCTGTTTAATATTCTCCTTCATATTAATTTCCATGTCCCAGCCTTTGGATTTTTTTAATGCTTTTTATTGTGTTTTGACTTTTTTTCTTTCATTGTGTTTTTATCCTTTGTACAGTGACCTTGAGTGTCTAGAAAAGCGCCTTTGAAATAAAATGTATTATGAATAAACAGCTGATGATAAAGTCAAATTTTTTTCCTTTTAGAACCCAATAATTTGAATTCTTTATTTGCTTTTCTATTTTTCTGCCACTTGCTCTTTAGGATCATAATATTCATTCATCCATGGAGGGCTTTTGGTTCATGTTGAAACATTTCTACATCAGAAATGGTGCGTTATACATGGAAATAGAGGCGATACTCTGAATAATAGTGAAAGGGATCATTTGAATAACAGGGTTCTCGTGTTTCCATGTTCCTGTCATGGATGCATGTTCTCTCTGGGTACTCCAGATTCCTTCCACATACATGTTAAGTTATTTGGTTCTCAAAATCAGAA